TTTTTTATTTTCATAAAGCTGTGGTATAAATCCATAGACAACATGACATTGTCAGCCAGTGACACGTGTAAATATATGAATTTCAACTTAATTCCATTGAATTCATCGAGACACATATATTTTTCTTTTCATATAAATGTTTATAAATAAAATATCAGTTAATAGCCACTTAACAAGGTGAGTGACCGAAAAAAAATTCAAATTCCTTTGAAAAGCTTTAACAGCTGATGCTAATGGCTTGGCGCGTATTGCTGTTTGAAAAATACAACTCTTTGATATATACCTGACATATAAAAATCGAATATCAGTCTCATCACAGTGGTAATAATGTCGTACGATTTTATATATTCTGTCCAGCAAACCACAAATACCAGCTCCATAGCAATGAATTAGCCATTTACATACAGACGTTGTGTTATCTGTAAAGATTTTTTTTATATCAGTCGGCAAACGAGCGAGCGGCCACCTGATATCGCTGAAATAGCGAAGTGACCGTTGCCCATAGACATACGGAATTGCATATGCGTCCGCCTAACTTTAATCGACGGAGGAGACGATGCATAGAAAAAGATATTTAAATATATTTTTTACGTATGATTTTGCTTGCAACTCCGTCTGCGTGGAATTAAAAAAACTTATTAGCCTATGTGTTCTTCCGGATTTTCTACATCTATGCCAAATTTCAGCTAAATCCATTTAGCCGTACTGGAGATTCCTTTCGCATCGTATTATAACTTTCGCATTTATAATATTAACCGTTGGTGTCTAAGACCAAAATCTCTGTATAAAACATACTATCATCATTGTTATTATGCATCACAATAGATTTTAAACGGATATTTTGGTCTCAGAAACCTACCGTAAGATAATTGTAAAATTTTTAGGTTTTTTACAAATGCCAGGTACAAATGCCAAAAAAGTATTGACGGATTGTGTGAAAGAGGACATGCGTAAGAAGGTCGTAAATTCAGACATGACAGCTGATTGAGATGTATGGAGGTGTAGTTCATACTGTGACGACCCTCAATAGGGATAAGGGCAGGTTGATGTTGAATGCTTTGGCAATGACAAGACACATTTTTTACATACATAATTAATTTAGAAGAGTTGATATGAACTAAAGAGTCATTTAGTACAAAAAGATTAATAGCCGGGTTGCTATTAGTACGTAGTGTTAATAATTGAACGACTTCCTGGTATCAGAGTCGTAAATGATAATAACTATTTCAAAGAAAATAAAACGAATTTTCACATCGAAATTTAAGAGAGCTTTAAAATAAACGTGTGGAAATGCGACGCGGTCGCCAATGTGATCTTGTTATAGTCACCTTTGTTAGGCTGTCTACACATAACGTTGTCGAAATACTAGTAATTGGAGAATATAGAATCAAAAGATAAATCTTACTAATATTATAATTGCAATTGTTTAGATGGATAGATGGATGCAATCGGGCTGACATGGCCCGAGACCAAACGCAGAGCCCAAGATAGAGCGAACTGGCGGTGCACTGTGGACGCCCTCTGCCCCACTTCATGATTTTAGAACTTTACATTGTAGATGATGTAGAACATAATCTAAAATCTAAGGTTTGTTTTTAACTTCGCGCAGACGAAGTCGCGGACGACTAGTGTAAAATATTTTTTAAATAACGAAAAAGCATTTTTCTTATGGCGATTTGAGATGTTTTTGATTTGGGGAGTAAGGTAAAGACAAGATTAGATAAATATTAAGTTTTTCGTTTGGAGTTTCGAGACAACAAAACCACAAAAGTGATAAAACTTCTCTATAGTAGTATATGCAGCAATTTATCTTAATATTTAAAAAAAATATTTTTACGCAGCGGTTGTGTAATCTTAAAATCAAATAAATTGCTTATTTAAATTCTGCCTAAAAAAACAATAAAGGTATGTTTTAATCGCATTCCCACGTTTGTAATGACCCTTAAGTTTTAAGTCTCAAGGAGAGGCGACGGAAGTCAGCGACACCTGAGTTATGACCACTTTGTATATAAATACGTTTTGTTCTCGAATTAATGCGTGGTCTTGCAAAATTATATTTGTGCAATAAAGACGTGAATATTCTTCCCAAGGTGATATTGATAATAATTTCAACCAAGGCCTTTATTTTTTATAATTGTGGCTGACAAAAACAGACAGAGATGCAGTGAGAACTTCTTACATTTTTAAATCTGTTAACAAAGAGGACAAAATGTATGTAAACTCTTTAGTAACGATTTTCGATTGTGTTGATTAAAAAAAAAATACAATAACAACATACCTCAATTGTAAATTATGAATATTGTAGGAAGTAAGGTAAAAACACATGCGATGTTATGATGCTTTTGCACGACCCAATGGCAACTTGAAATTACATTTGTTCGGAATGAATATTCATGTCTAGACTTTATTATATTAACCATATCTATCCATGCTTAACCGTCTATGTAGAGGGGTATGATGGTAAGGGTAGGTCAAGGAATAAATAGATGGTTTGTGTTAAAGTTGACACGAGTTTACTTTGTTATGTTCTATGAAATTGTTATAAGAACTGGAAGCTTTATACAACTTTTAATTTTTAGTTTATTATTTATATTATTTTATCTATTGGATTTTTTTTATATGATAAGGGGGCAAACGAGCAACGAATCGCCTAAAATTATTTGATTCGACGCCCATGGACATCCGCAACGCCAGAGGAACCACAGATGCGGCCTTTAAGGAAGGTGTACGCTCTTTTCTTGAAGGCTCCTAAGTCGTAACTTTTTGGAAATACCGCTGAGGAAAGAGAATCCCTACGCTATTGTTGTAAAATATATCGGAATGCTTCGTGTATTTATTTTAAATACATTTCGATGTCGGAATGCCCCGGCCTTATTCTCTAATTAACTACAAGAGCAGCACGTGAATTGAATAAAAATAAAACGTGACAAGTCACGTGTTAGTACACGCGAAACATTGACGAAAAGACAAAGATTTAATCAGACGATTAAAAGAAATGTTAACAATGTAACTATACTGTTAGCCAAATATTCGTGAAATTAAGACAGTAGTAATTTTTTTTTGATCTTAAATAGGGATAATCAGAGACTCTTCTTGTCATTCAACTAATGTAAAATCTTCAACAATCATATAATAAGAAAATCAATACGAATTAGAGTTTTTCATGAAAAACGCGTGCTACATAGTTGATCACCAACATTGATTGCTTAAACACCTCTTAGGGTAGGTTACTCATAGTATGAAAACAACACAAACAGTCTCCCTTAGCAAACAGTTAACATCTCTGTGTCAGTGGTTTTGTGCTTGTATCATCTGTGGTAAGACAATTTCTTATTTTATCTGTGGTATGCGCGGTAGTCGGCGCGGGCGCTCGTCGTCGCATACCTGCCGTGAGCGAAGTGGGTCGCCCTCGCTCGCCGACGGAATGCGACTATAAACTTTTTGTCTATTTATTTGTACAACTAAAATACGCGACATTGCGTAATACGACATGTTTTGCGGTATTTTTATTGTACTCTTGCCGCTGGAATTCGTTACAACTGAACATTTAACCGAACAACTTGATAGATGGCTTTT